GCCGGATTTAATCACTAATTAATAGAAGTATGTGTCTGCGACAATTCTCTTTGCTTATACACTATAGCTCATCCTCCTGTCCTGTAAACACTGATAACTGCACCCCTAACAGTGTATTCATGAACCTGTTGAACCAGGTTTGTTTGATTTCATTCCAAACAGCTTATTACTGCATCACCATTAAGCACACTCAGAACTGACATTTCTTAAAGAGACAGTTCACAAAAAAGGGATTCTGTCTGAGTTCACTCACTCAAGTTCACTGGTTTTCTTGATTTTTGTTTGGTTTTGACATTTTAATAATGTACAGGCCACTTTTTCATGCAATTACATTAAATGGGAACTGGATTTCCGTGTTTCAGAAAGGACCATAAAATATTAGAAATTTTGTAAAAGCAGTTCGTGTAAGAAACAAACTGCAATATGGAATAAATCTTCGCTCCGGTGAGCTGTTAACCACTTCAACTGAGTCAAGCAATGAATCAGTCGGACTTACAAACAAATCATTCAGACCTGTTTTGTGACCTGAAGCCTGAATTGGGTTTTGCTGCTTTTCTCATGAACTTTCATGAGAAGAGAGCTGAATCATCAATGCCTCAGTCCTCATTAATTCTCACTATATAAGCCAAATCAAACTTATTTCTGAGTAAACTTTTTTGAACGTACTCATGCTAATATGCTAATAGCTATCAAAGTTGCTATTGTTTACTTGCGCGCCCACAATGCTAATGTTAACTTAAGGGGAGACACTGCAGGCAAAAACACTTCTTTTATAGCACTTTATATTTGTGTCAATAGATTTCAATTACAATACATATTTCTAAAGGCTGTTTTCTCAAAATGAGTTTTTTCTCCTACACTGAGCCATAAATCTCCACTTCAGTAGCACTTACACACACCAAACTTTACATTTGTATTCCTGTCTATATCCTGAAGGTCTTTACAGAGGGATTTGTTCATATATAATTTGCTTGATTATATACAACATTTTATCCCTCCCTCCCCAATTGTGAAAATATAGGCTATTGTTTTCTGTCTGTTCTAAGCTTTTTCTGAATTGAGTGACACCAATTCCCTCTGTAAAAACATTTGACTCTAATATGTCAAAAAATAAATACATAAATAAATAAATAAAATAATTTTGAAACTGACTTCATCCAGTGTTCAGATTATTGTACAAGACGTTTATGCAAATTAGTGCATATTTCATTAAATAATGCCTCATTTGCATATTTAAACCTAGCATTTTAGAAAACTTGTAATACAAAAAATATTTGCAATTATCAATGTAATCAATGAACTGGGTAAGTAAGACGATAACTATTAGTTAATGTTTTTACCCTATCCACCTGCAGCCTTAATAATTATATCTATATATTTAGAGTACTGAAATGAAATAGATAAATATGCAAGTCTCATATTTTTTACCGTGTCAAATCCTCTTTTTTTTTCTTTATAGCCCCCTGAGAATCAGAAATAAAAAGCTTTGTGAATTTAGTATTTTTTCATGTCATTACATTGTTTGGAGCATAAGAAAAAAAATGGTAAAATAACATTTTTGAAAAATTATATTTTATTTAAATGGTATGCTATGTCCTCTGTAGAGGACACCAGGAATAAAATCTAAAAATAAAATGACAAGAATTGACATGAAAAGGCAAAAACTGATTTTTTTATACCTAAGTTTAAGGATGGTTCTCAACTGTTATAAAATATATAGCAAAATGATTTAATATACCATTTTGCTTTATGAAATATGTGTGTAAAAATTCCATAAACTGGTTTTCCCATTAAGCACAATGTTATCTATACACTGTATCTAATTTGCATATTAAAGTGCTGTTGGGACAGCATGTTGAAAAAAGAAGTGTAATAATGGGGTTAGTAATTAGCCAGCTTTTCATAATAATATCTAATATTTCATAAGAATATTGTTATATATAATTTGTTTTCCTATTCAATTCTTTTGTCTCCCAAAATGTGTGCTAAACATGCTTTTAGTCCTGGTGTCCTCTACAGAGGACATGTATGAAATTATGTCCTGTTTCATAACTGTAGTCATATTTTGATTTGAAACCCCGTAACATTTTCCCGAGATGTTGATTTATGACAAACAATTTGAAAATTAATCAGATTTAAATTGTAATTGCAAAATATTATCATATTTCCATAAGGATGTACAATTTTATCACTAAATTAATGTCAGCCATTTTTAAAGACCAAGGAGAGGGCGTGGCCAGGGTGAAACATCCAATCATTTGGTGTCTCTGGAAAGCCCTGAATGTGCTCTGTACAGGACATCCAGACTTAAACCTGTGACATGTGAGGTCTCAGAGAAATCACTCAAATATAATGTCCACTACAGAGGACAAAACTCCATAGCTGGGTCTCAGGAGGATATAGTAGCCTAGTGGACTCCATTTCCCATCATGCTTTGCGCTGATTGCACCGCCCTTGCTGGGGCGCCCCGTGGCCTGCGTCAGTGTTGCGCAGATTCGGTTTGAACCGAAAGCGGAGTGTGACCTTCTCTGGCGGCGGAGACCGGCAGGAGACCGAGCGAGCGGATCCATGTCAGCACTCCCGTCCACGACCCTCGCCACGGAGATGAACTGCAACTTAGCTGGAGATGAAATCGGGTAAGACACGATGTGTTTATATGACAGTGTTTGGATGTAACGTACTTGTCCCGTTCCAGCGGAGAAAGATGCGCAGCGGGCCGCCCAGAGGACAGCAGATCCCAGCGAGCCATCCTGCCGAGCTCCGCAGCTCACTCTGGTGCACCACTAATCTCCTTCAAAATGACAACGACATGTTATCGGTTAATAGAATAGATAGAATGCTTCAACAAAGAAGCTAAGAGATAGATTGACAGGAAAAGCTCAGCTGTCAAACTGGAGGCTTGTGTCACCTGTGTTTTTATGCTGCAAGTTTCTTATAAACAAACGAGTATTTCATCACTCTTTTTATAGTGTGAGTTTTATTAACACTTACATGTCGCTCTCTTTCATATGTGACCCTGGACCACAAAACCAGTCATGAGGGCCAGTTTTGTGAAATTGAGATGCATGCATCATCTGAAAGATGAATAAATAAGCTTTCCATTGATGTGTGGCTTGTTAGCACAGTATTTGGCTGAGGTACAACTATTTGAAAATCTGGAATCTGAGGGTGCAAAAAAAAAAAATCTAAATATTGAGAAAATCGCCTTTAAAGTTGTCTAAATGAAGTTCTTAGCAATGCATGTTACTAATCAAAAATTAAGTTTTATTATATTTACAGTAGGAAATGTACAAAATATCTTCATGGAACATGATCATGATCTTAATATCCTAATGATTTTTGGCATCAATCATTTTGACCCATACACGGTATTGTTGGCTGTTGCTACAAATATACCCCAGCGACTTAAGATGCTGCAGGGTCACATATAGTAAGTTTTATAATCAAACTAGAGGCTTGTATGTGCTCTTGGTATCCTACAAGTTTATAATCACAAACTGGAGACTTGTATCACTGTATTTTTCGTGCTATTTTTTTTAAAAATAATCATATTGGAGGATTTCATCCCTCTGACTTCTATACTATAAGATTTATAATCGGAGCAGAAGAGAAACTCATGGGTGCACAGTGTGACCCAGCCTGCAGTAGTTTGATTTGATAAACCGGCTCATGTCTGAGATGGTTTCGGAGTGGATCTGGGTTATTTGAATGTACGGCTGGTTTCTGATTATGACCCGTTAGACCGCACGGATCAGTCTTTCAGCGCCAAGGGCAAATGTGTTTTCTCTCCTTCACCTTGACTCGTGTTCCTTTCTGAATGAACGCAAATGCATTGTGACGTTCCCTCATCTTTGTGTTGCAGGAAGCTGTTTGTGGGTGGACTGGATTGGAGCACCACCCAGGGTGAGTGTTACTGTCCTATTAACCCTCATATAGTTTTATACAGTAACATTAGTTGCTCTTAAATAATGCAAGTGTGTGCGAGCCTGTAGTGTGCTTTTCATTAAAAGCACCGTCTTGTTTTGCATTGCTGGCTTGATGCACGCTATAATATTCTCCATAAACGTATATTTGCTCGGCATGTTCTCAGCGTAGAAAGCAGGCTGTCACTCAGGGGCTGAGCTTGCCTTTTCAGTATGTGGGTGCAAGTGAGAGAGCCGGCTTAGACGCAAGCTCCAGAAATCGGATAAAGCCTGTATCAAATAGCATGCGTAAAATGCAATGAGGAAATCGATGGAAAATGATCTAATATTGTTCATGGTGCATGTAATTTTTTTTGAACGCTTTCTTTTTTTATATATATATATATATCGGCCTGGGTAAGAACTAAAAAATGTAAAAACAACATAATAAAAAAAAACAAAAATCCAAGTATGTTCATAAGAGTCTGAAAACTGCATGATGTTTATTTTATTAAAGGTATAGTTCACCCATAAAAGAAAATTACCCCATGATTTACCATCCTAGGTGTATATGACTTTCTTCTTTCAGGCGAATCGGACTTTTCCAAGCTTTATAATGGCAGTGAATGGGTGTTGAGATTTAAAGCCCAAAAAAGTCTGTCCATCCATCATAAAAAGTAATCCGCTGAAACGCCAATCTTGCGTGAATGCTCGTAGTTAGCGGAAGATAGATATTAAGGTTTCTAAAGTTTTAAATATGGTTATTTTGCTTACACAAATGCATTGCTTCGCTTCAGAAGGCCTTTATTAACTGCCCGGAGCCCTGTTGAGCACTTTTTATGATGGATGCATGCACTTTTTTGGGCTTAAAAATCTCAACACCCATTCAATGCCATTATAAAGCTTGGAAGAGCCAGGACATTTTTTAACATTGTATTCATCTGAAAAAAGAAAGTCATATACACCTAGGATGGCTTGAGGGTGAGTAAATCAATGGGTTAATTTTCATTTTTGGGTGAAATATCCCTTTAATTGCTATAATTGTCCAGTCTTTGCCCAACTCAAATATTCTGTTTTTTGGTGTGTGTTATAGAAAGGAAGCAAAAGTGACAGCAATAAATCTAAGAAGATATTTGTGGGTGGGATTCCTCATAATTGCGGTGAAGCTGAACTCAGGGATTATTTCAACAGATTTGGAGCGGTGAGATGGACACAGATGTAGAAATGTACCATTATTCTTTAATTAGGCATTATTAATAACTAAATAAATTCCATAAAGATGTTAAAATGATGTCAAACGATGCACAAATGAGCATGTACAGTGGAGTCCAAAAGGTTGCATGGCCATGTACTTGCTTATTGATAAGTGACCTAGAAGTGCGAAATCTTAAATATATATTTTTATTAATTTTACCTGACATTTTTACTTCGGTATTTCCAGATTTTGAATCCCTTGTTTTTAATATTTTATCACACCTTTGGACCCCACTGTATGTAATATGTTTTATATATGATGCTTTTTCTATGTCCGTTTCGTCCTTCACGGGTCCTGTTCTCCCTTTTGAAGGTCACAGAGGTGGTAATGATCTATGACGCAGAGAAACAGAGGCCTCGAGGTAATCCACACATTCATATTTGCTCCCATTCAGTCTCTCTCTCACCTCATGCGCAAGACAAACTATTCCGACCCAAAGAGAAGAGAACATCACGCAGGCCATCCGCCCCTCTCATGTGTGTGATGCTTGGTTTGGTGTGTCTCAACTCTTGCATGGTGGCAAGGCAAATCAGCAGCATCCACATGACACGCAAACATTTGCTTCAAACATGCTCAATTGGTTCAGCGTCTTGCACATCTGCTTGTGCCTTAAAGGGATAGTTCACCCAAAAATTCTGTCATTAATTACTCACCCTCATTTCGTTCCAAACCCGTAAGACCTTCGTTCATCTTCGGAACACAAATTAAGATATTTCTGATGGAATCTGAGAGCTGTCTGACCCTGCATAGACAGCAACGCAACTGAAATGTTCCCAAGTCCAGAAACGTAGCAAGGAGATCTGTAAAATAATGTGACATCAAGGGTTCATCCGCAATTATACGAAGCTACGAGAATAATTTTTGTGCGCAAAAGAAAAAAAAACGACTTTATTCAACAATTCGTCTTCTCCGCATCACCCAGGTGCCAATTTGGAGAATATCCGCTGGACGTAAAACAGCGTATGCTGTTCTGTGTCAGCTGCGTCACACGGATACGCTGTTTCCGTTCAGATCAAATCACAACAACGTAGGAAACAGATCCGGCGTGAAGTAACTTTGTTGTTTTCATAACTCAATGTGAGTTAGTTTTTTGAATAGATGCTGCTAAAGTACTTAAATTTAAATGTTAACAAGACTTCAAACATATAACGCTTGACTCATATGCACTGCTTTTAAAAAATTTTTTTTTTGGACAATAACAAGGGACATGCATTTAAGAGGCTGTTTATCGCTGTATAGGCCACAAAAATCCTACAAAAAAACAACTTTTTGTATGCTAAATTTTGGCTTTTTGGAGCTTGACATAGATGGTTACTACTATAGAAAGAGAATGTGAGGATTCTTCAAAAATGTCCACTTTTGTGTTCCGTGGGAAAATTAAATAAGTGCGTGAACTATCCCTTTAAGATTTCAAAACGTCGTAATGCAGTATGGCTGACACTTTACAAGTTCAATAGATCCACTGTTTTATTATCTAGCCAGTACCTGTTTTCCATAACAGCACATATTCAAACCATGGCCATGACGTGGTCCAGCTGAAGAACTAAATGAGAAAAAGAGCCATCAAAATGACTGGAGAAAAAAAAAAGGACAGCTAATTCATTTTTAAAATCCTATTTTACACAGTGTTTCTGGAAAGTTTGCAGCGCACTATTTACATTCACTCAAACCATGTCCTTCTACGCTTAAACGAATAGTTGGAAATTTGACATTTAACGTGTGAGGGAGTTCGTTTCTCATTATTGAAAACATTATTTCTCTCCCAATGTGGGAAAAGTTTGCAATATATTGAGCAAAACCTTTTATTGTGTTTGTGTTTTGTTACATTTTATGTATTTTTACATAAATTTCTGACCATGTTAGTCGCCCAAGGCTTGGTTCATTTGGACCGCTCCTTTAGGTGCTGTAATGCTGAATAAAGTGAATAATTATTCAAATAAAGTGAACTATTAGAATATGTTTATCTGTTATTTTTACATTAGAAATTATCACTGTATATAAATGCGAAGTGAACTTTAAAGCATAGCAGCACTCACCTAAAGAACCGGTCGGTTTCCTTTTTTTTTCTTTTTCTTTTTTTCTTTTATTCAGGTTGTTACTGTCAGGTCACTTACTATTTGAGTTCTATATTATCCCAGAAGGCAAAGAGAAATCTCAATTAAGTGACCTCAATATTCGAATCTCCATACTGTGTCTGTTAGTCTACTCCAAACGGGCTTTGGGCGGGTAGCAAATGTCTCTGTAGCGTAAGATTATTGTCTGATACCTAGGTGTATTAGTCTGTTTTTAAGGGATAGCGCAAGACTGAACAAGTCGCATGACGTGTTATCTCACCTCACCAGCTCCACTTAGTAAAATATCACTCCCAGCGTGGCCGGTTTGAGGTTGATCTGCGTTTTGAAAATATATCACTAGAATTTTGACTAATAGCCTCACGCAGGCCCAGAATGCAGAGGGGCCCGTCTCTATGTTTGGTCTCCCGAGGCTCCGTCATGACTGCAGTGTGCTGATTTAAAGTGAAAAACCACTTCCAGCAAGTTCGTCCAAGACTCCAGAATAGCTCCGTAGTTTTTGTCCTACATTGAGTTTGTTCTCGCCCGCCGACGTTCTCCTTGACTTGGGTCTGTGTTCCTGAAGGAATCAGGTACTAAGGTACCTGGGCTATTGTTCTTCACATGACATTATTTCATTGGGGCTTTAAGGGAGGTGGGGCCATGCGTTATAAAATTAGAAACTGGAGCATATCAAACTGTGTACCAAATCCCAGCTCTACTGTTGGATGCGAAGACTTGCGCGAGGCCTCCCATCACTCTGAGCAGTGATGCCCGTGGGAGTGGGGGGGGGGGGATGGGTTGCCGATGCGGGGGTG